TGCCTTAAGGGCTTAGGCAAGCATAAAATAAGAGGGTGGATGGTAAACCTTGAGACTCTAGGTGTCAGCAACTAGTGACCACAGCATATGGTCCAGATTTCCAGAGATTCTAATTCTCAGCATCTGAGATGGAGCCCCATCATCACTACACCTCAGATGACCACAGTGTGAGAAACTCTGGTTTAATCCAGTCTCTTGAAACATCTGTCCCACTCACCCATCTCCACCCACCTCCCAGCAGATTGTCAGCTGGATGGTTCACACATCAGGCAGCCAGAACACCTGGTGTAGCCCTCACCATCTTGGCGTGCCTGCTGTGGTTGGATTTATTACATGTCCACATTGCATCCTATTGTGCTCTGGGAATAAGAGCTTCCACAAATGTCCTTGATTAGGCACCAAGAGATCCGGGAAAATGGGAGAAACTTTCATCCTCTCCAGCAAGGATACATACGCTCCCAGGGTTTTTCTCCGAGGGGAAAACTCTGAGCCTCATAAAGAATAGTCCTGAGCCTAAGCTATCATCTCATTCCCATCCTCTCAGCATTCAGTTCCATCCTCATTGGGTCCTTTGTGGGAGGACCCCAAGCCTCAGATGTACTTATGAAAAGCACCAGGGGCAGGCACTAATGTTGGGGGGGGGGGGCTGCCACAAGCAATACCCAAGAGCCAGGAGTAGGCAGAGCAAGGCTAAGAGAAGACAGATCACTAAGGTACAGGCAGAGGAGGAGACAAAAGCAGGTGAGAACATGGAGTCACTGCTAGCTCCTAAAGTGTCTTTGTGCACATGTGAAAAGCACAATTCTCTAGGCAGAGCAGTCCCACATCAGGATGCATAGCTTGGTGGGTGGTGGAGAGGCTATATTTTAATCACCACTTGCCCTGGATGCCCCTGTAAGCCACTAGAACAACTCTGACAGCCTTACAACTCTGACAGAGAGAGCAGGAAGTACAGGAGAGGGGAGGGGAGGGGAGGGGAGGGGAGGGGAGGGGAGGGGAGGGAAGGGAAAGAGAGAGAGAGAGAGAGAGAGAGAGAGAGAGAGAGAGAGAGAGAGAGAGGAAAGGAAAGGGAGGGAGGAAAGGAAAGGAAGGAAGGAAGAAAAGAAGGAAGGAAGGAAGGAAGGAAGGAAGGAAGGAAGGAAGGAAGGAAGGAAGGAAGGAAGGAAGAAGAAAGGCCATCAGAGCCATTCAAGGCCCATCCAACTGCCCCCTGCTCTTCTCTCACTGGATCCCCACAGAGGGCCCACCAGACTGTCCAACAAATTCTTGCCACAGTCACCCCCACTGCTCCCTTTTATCTAGACTGTCTATTCACATCCCTTCTATCCTTCAAGGCCTTCTCAAACCCCTCTCTGACAGGATGCCTTTTCTGAACACCCCCTTCACTTTGGGGAGTACACAATGGTCCTTAGATCTGTTCTCTTAGTGGGTCCTCAGCACTTCTTTTAGCCAGTAGCAGGTCACCTCTCTATGACCATGTCTCTCCTGCCCCAAGACTATATAGTATGCCTGATTCTCCACAGACACCTGGCACAGGGCAGCATACAGCAGACACTCACTATATATGTATTAATTGTGATGGAAAAACATGGAATGAGGGCTGAAAGGAATCCTGAGTCTGACACAGGTTTGACTACTAGAGATCCCTGGGGTAACCCGGAGAAAAGACCTCCCCATCTTCCATCTGTCTCCCAAGTATAAGGTGCAGTGGATAGATGGATACTCTCCAAGGGTACCTGTTGGGATTAAAGCCTCATCTTACAAGACTCAGAGCTCTTGGCCCCCATCAACCAGTTTTTCACCTCTGTTATTTCAGTGTCTAGCACTGTACTTGGTCCAGAATAGGCAACAAGATTGGGCCTGTGGTGCTCAGTGGTTGGAGCATCAGCCCATGCACTGAAGGTTTGCAGATTTGATTTCTGGTCAAGGGCACATACCTAAGATGTAGGTTCCATCCCCAGCCCCAATTGGGACACATGCTGGTGGCAAACATCTCACATCGATGTTCTCTCTTTCTCTCTCTCCCTCCCCCCTTCCATCCCTCCTTCCACTCTCTCTAAAAATCAATGGGAAAAATATCCTTGGGTGAGAATTAACAATACAAACCAAAACAAACAAACAAAATAGAACAGACAATAATATGGTATATGGGTTGTCTCAGTCACCCACTATGCTTTGGCCATGTAAGCATTTAACTCAGTGTTTTATTTAGCAAACCAAAGATATTCAACATGGCCAACTCAAGGAAAAAAAAGAAGAAAAAAAAAACAAAAAAACACCCCTACTAGGAAAATATGTACTATGAAGTTACTTGTGCACTCAATGGGAAGACTAGAGAACCAGGTTTGGAAAATATGAGTGTGTGTATATGTTGTGTGTGTGTGTGTGTGTGTGTGTGTGTGCGCGCTCTGAAGGCATGCACAGGGAAGAACTAGGTCTGGATGCCCACTGGCTCCAGGCCACCTCTTTTACCACTGGTCACTGCCTAACCCTAACCAGTGGCTGTCACAACACAAATGTACTCTGAACTGCCACCATCCCAGAGCCTAAGTTCCAAGTGGTAGTTCCTAATTGCCATAAATGAGGAAGGAAGGGCTCATGCATTCAATTTCCTCAATAGGAAGACTTCAGGTGCAAGGCAGCCAAGAAATGACAAATAGCTACTTTGATGACCCTGTTCCCCTGACCAAACAGATTCTTCCTTCCAGCAATTTGGAAAAAGGACCTGTGGTATGTTAATACTGGCTCCCCAAAAGATATATCCACTTAGAACTTCAGAATGTGAACTTATTTGGAATAAGGGTCTTTGCAGCTGGAATTAAGGTAAAGGTTTCAAGATGAAATCATTCTGGATTGGGATAGGCCCTAAATCCATTCACAAGTGTCCTTAGACAGAAAAGAAGTCACAGAAACACAGAGGAGAAAAAGGCAGAAGTTGAAGTGGTGCTGTTACAAGCCAAGGAATGCTAAGCACTGCCAGAAGCTGCCAGAAGCCAGGAGAGGCACAAAATAGATTTCCCCTCAGAACTTCCAAAAGGAGTCAACCCTTCTGACTCTTTGATTTCAAAATGCTGGCCTCCTGAACTGTAAGAGAATAAAACTATTGTTCTAAAACCCCTAATTTGCAACAATTTATTATGGCAGTCTCAGGAAAGTAATACAGAGGTACAGAGATGTCAGCAAGTCAAAACTGGTGGGAGTACATTGGGGCCATGGGAAGCAGGGAGAGAAACAGAGGCAAGCAGCAGACCTAGGATACCTGGTTCACACAAATGCCAGCAGCCTTTGGGTTTCTTAAGATGCCCAGATGCACTCAATAATTTCCCTTTCTTACTGAAACTGACTAAAGCCACTTTTCATGACTTCTAAAATACCTAAAGCCCTCATCTATGACTGTGTCCAGCCTCCCCTCTCCCCACTAGGTGGGAGTGCATATGGAGTGCAGCAGGGGAAGGGAGGACTGGTAGAATCCACTGAGCCAGAAGACAGGCACTGGTCAGCCAACCAAGGTGGGCTTGGCCTCCAAAGAGCACCCCTCTAGAAGGAGGACAGTGCCCAAGGCAGAGTCTGCTCTGAGGCCAGCGGCTAAAGGACCAGATATCAGGAGGAGTGGGGTAAAACTTTGCTAAAAGTAATTCATTTTGTTTTCAACCCCACCCCCATAATCTGGTCCTGGTCCTTAGTGACTGTTTTCCCCTAAGTACAGAGTTGGGGGTGTCTGGACCTCTATGCTCTAGAGTAAGCACTGGTGACCAAAGAAAAGCAACTCCTGACATGCAAAATATAAACTTGCTAGAATAGGAGCCTTTACCTCACTAAGGGGAGAAGGGGGTGGAGTGTGAGGGATGCTTGCTACCCTCTCTCCTGTGCCCTAGATGGCTTCCACTGAAGGGGGCCTCAGAGGATGTAAGCAGAGACTGAAGGGCAAATGGAAGGTGGGGTGTGGGGAGGAGGCTGCAAGAGCTCGCTGAGGGGAAGGGATTTCTAATAAGCTAGGCTATTGGGGGGGGGGGGACATATGCCTAGGTTCCACCAACTTGGAAAATCATCCGTTCCTTTACTTTCCGAACAGGTCCTCCACCCCCGCCTCCTGGTGAAGGTAGCATTCTTATTGGACAGGGTTTTCCCAAGTTCCGAGTTCCGAGGCGCTCTATCTTGAAACCATTCATCTAGCAAAAGTACCTTGCCAAGTATCCCACGAAATCTCACATCAACCTCTTCAGGGTAGACTCTGTGCACCATTTTACATATGGGGAAAGTGAAGTCAAATCGCTTTCCCAAAATCAAGCGGCCTGAAAGAGGAGTGAACCCAGGATCTCAGCTGGCTCCAGGTTTCCGCTACTCGCTGCGCTGCTCACACTTTCCAGCGCGCTGCCTGGCCATCCCACCCCAGCGAGGGGCGCCCCGCCCGCCCCCGGAGGAGCGTGCCCAGGCGGCTAATCGCCCGCCGCCCCCGCCCCCATTTTTCACCGACTGGAAACGCCTCGGCGGGCTAAGCCCCGAGACAGCTCCGGGACGAGCCGCGGCGATTGGCCCGCGGTAATTACGGGCACACTCCGGGCGGGGGAGGGGCGGGGGCGGCCCCCCGTGAGCATAAATTATGCAAATACCCGGGCGCCGCACGGGGCTGACCTGCCGCCTCGCTCCATTCACGGGGGCTGCCTCGGGGACGAAGGTGGCCGGGGAGGGGGGCGCCTATTGTTGTGCCGGATACTTAAGGGGTCCTGAGGCCAGTCGTGTGCCACACTCGTACTCACACGAGCTGATCTGATTGCCGGCGAGATCACTCGGGAGACCGGCTGGAGCGTGGCCCCTGCAGGCGAGGCGAGGAGAAAAGGCCAAGTTCCAGCGCGCCCTTCCAGGCCTTCGTGCCCTCAGCGGGCACCGAGTAAGCCCGGGCCTTTCGGAAAGTAAGTGTGCCCCAACGGTCCTGCCCTCAGCCTGAGGTCCTGCCCTCTAAGCGCTCCCTTATCTGTCCGTCGGTCCTGCCCGACGCCGAGATGCCAGCCCCTCTGGAGACCTGCCTCTCAGACCTCGACTGTGCCAGCAGCAGCAGCAGCAGCAGCAGCGACCTGTCCGGATTCCTCACGGACGAAGAGGACTGTGCCAGGCTCCAGCAGTCAGCCCCCGCCTCAGTGCCGCCTGTGCCGGCGCACAGGGGCGCCCCCGGGGTTCCCGGGGTGTCAGACACTCCCCGGGCGCAGGAGGACGAGCAGGAGCGGCGGCGGCGCAGGGGCCGCGCCCGGGTGCGCTCCGAGGCGCTGCTGCACTCGCTTCGCAGGAGCCGGCGTGTCAAGGCCAACGACCGCGAGCGCAACCGCATGCACAACTTGAACGCAGCGCTTGATGCACTGCGCAGCGTGCTGCCCTCCTTCCCCGACGACACCAAGCTCACCAAGATCGAGACGCTGCGCTTCGCCTACAACTACATCTGGGCTCTGGCCGAGACTCTGCGCCTGGCAGACCAGGGGCTGCCCGGAGGCGGTGCCCGAGAGCGCCTCCTGCCGCCACAGTGCGCCCCCTGCCTGCCAGGGCCCCCGAGCCCCGCCAGCGACGCTGAGTCCTGGGGCTCTGGTGCTGCCGCCTCCCCATGCGATGCCGCCTCCTCACCACTATCTGACCCCAGTAGCCCTGCCACCTCCGAAGACTTCTCCTATAGTCTTGGCGACCCCCTTTTCTCCTTCCCCAGCCTGCCCAAAGACTTGCTCCGAACAACGCCCTGTTTCATCCCTTACCACTAGGCCCCTTTGGACACCTTTACCTCTCCCTTCCCCCCAGGCAACAGGCAGTAGTAGTAGATGGCGTCCCAGCTGAGGCCTCGGGATGCCCAGTCTAGGCGGAGGGAGGAAGCGGGAGCTTTAAAGGGATGAAGGATACCTGAGCCGCTTGTTAGGTCGCTGCACCCTCGCCATGGCTTCCCCTTGGTCTGTTTTCTCCAGCCCTCAGCCCCGGGCCCCTCCTGCCCGCCCCTAGACAGCCTTCCCTTTTGCACTTTCTGAACTCCACAAAACTTCCTTTGTGGCAGGCTCAGAGCTGACCCCAGCCACCACTTCAGTGTGATTTAGAAAAGGGACAGAGCAGCCCCTGAAGACGAGGTGAAAAGTCAATTTTACAATTTGTAGAACTCTAATGAAGAAAAACGAGCATGAAAATTCGGTTTGAGCCGGCTGACAATACAATGAAAAGGCTTAAAAAGGAGAGACAAGGAGTGGGCTTCATGCATTATGGATCCCGACCCCCACCACTGCAGGCTTGGTTTAGGAAGAACCCAAGACTCTTGCCTCGGTAGCTATTCAGGCACTGGGCTGGAGAGTACTTTAATTTATTCAAGATGCTTCATTGATATGAAAATGTATTTTTGTACATAAAGAGTTTATTCTATTATAATGAGTTATCAAAGTTTACATTTTTGTACTGCAGGTGTTTGTGTAAATAAAAACTAAGTCACCAAATTTCTTGCTTGATGTCGGTGTCTCTCTGGGGCCTTTCTTTCCTTCCCCTAGCCGTTCAACCACTAAAGTGAAACACTATCCCCACCCGCTTTCAAATCCTCCAGCCAAAAACAAAAAATAAAATATACCTGATTTCCACCAAAAATCAGATAAAGACAGACTAGGGAGTTTATGATCCATCATTTCCTTTCACCTTATGAACACAAGGGAGATCTTTCAGGCTCCCCATAAACCAATTAAGACTTTTTAGTGGGGAATTAGTCCGGATTCTCAGCTACCTGTAGAGGTAGGGGTGGTGGGAGAGCCTTTCTTTTGAGGAGCTCCACATCAGCTGGCTCTGTGTTTCAAAGAGAGGGGATTAAAAAGATCAATACAGTGTGACCACTGGCTAGGAAGTCCCAGTGACAGGTGGGCCTAGCCTGGGCAAGCAGAAGGGCCCACTTTTATAATAGCCTATTTTGAGGGGGAAATTGACTTGTAAACAATGCCTCCAAATTATTGTCCATTGAGGCTGGGATCACCCTGGCTGTGAGGTGTGGGATGAATTACGCTGGTGTGGTGTCTCTGAGTGAGGTGTGCAGCTGCCTAAAATTGTGAGTTAGGGTGCCTGCACCTCCCCTCCCCCCACACACATGCTGTGCCCACAATGGGGGGGGGCATGCAGTGGGTTCAGCCCCGGCTTGCTCAGCCAGTCCTAGGGTAGTGGGGGTTGGGAGTGGGGGGAGCAACAACCAAAGCTTTCATTTGCTGCCAGAGAGATCAGTTGCCCAAACTCAGTAGGGATTTTTCTGGCTGCAGTGTGTTTTCCTGTTGTTCGGCAATTAGCAAACAGCACTGGCCAGTATTGGCTTTTGTTTTAAATCTCAGAATGTGGACATTTGCAAAAGATAGTTCTGAAAATGCTGTTGCTGCCTGTTCCCCCAGCTCACAAGTTATCCCACATTAAGACCAAAACTCCCCCCCATCCCGGGTTGCCCCTTTTTAGAGGGACTAGAAATGAGTTTATGAAAATGGTATTCTTCAGTGTTAGAGAAATCATATCCATTTAGGAAGTGAATAGAAGCAGAGTGCCAGAAGGAAGGCATTTTCCCTTGTGGAAGTGTTTTCCCTCCTCACCCACATGTCCTGATGAGTTGGATCCAGATTCATATACTGGGCCCCAAACAGGCATCACTAAGTCCAGCCACAGGGAAGGATTCCAATTTCAGATAAAAATGCTCCTTTTTGGAAGATTCTGGAAAGTTGGTACTTCTCTAACTGCCTTCAGTACAGAGACAAAGAGCCTGCTGAGAAAAGCTTCAGAAGTTATGAGGATTCAGAACATAGTTGCTTCTGCTAAAAACTCCAAAGAAAAAGTGTGTCTCTTGAATGACCCTGCCTGGGGCCCCACTCTATTGTCTGTCTCGGAATTAATTCACTCTACTAGCTTTGCATTTTCCTATAGCAAAAGACACAAATGGTCTGCATCAGATTTTCTGCTCTCCAGTGCATACAATGCTTGGAAGTAACTATCTCCCAACTTTCTAAGGGCTAAGGCCCAGTCTGTGACAAGGGCAGATTCCCTATGGAGACTGTTCAACCATGGTGTAGGTACACATGTTTAGACCAGAGGAAGAGAACATCCTACTATGTTTATTATCCAAAATCCTTGGGATAAGCAGCAGCAGCAAACACTGCAAACATCCCTGGAGCTCATGGCTGCAGTAAGAGCTGTGTCTCATACAATTGCACACACAGCCAGTCCTGAAACAAACAAACAAAAACATTACCAACCCTGGGAGTAAAGAAGAGCAAAACATATTCCAAACTTTGTGCCAAAATAGACTAACAACTCAAGGTACAGAGAGCACCTTTTATCTAAGGAACCATCTTTACAACATGGGTTGCTGGGGACATTCTACCCTTGCCAGTTAATACTGTTCTTCCAAGGAAGCAAGTGTGTATGTGTAGCCCTTGGAGCTCCCAAATAGAAGAAAGGTAATTAATAATGCTTATTCTCAGCACAGGGCCTCTTTCTTCCTGCAGCAAATTCATGTTCACCCACTAGCATCTGTGAAGGCAGGCTGGGGGTTACTGGAATAATCAATTACAGAGCATAGAACTTCCTGCTGACAGCCATGTTTCACTTCCTCAACAGAATCTTCACTGAGGAATTATCAGGCACTTGGGAAGGTTTATTTAGCCTGATCTCTCTATTTGCTTCTGTTCTGGTGTAACATGTCTTACTTTACACACTGCTTCCAAACCTCTGGATACCAGGACAGGGAAGATTGGGACAGCATAGCAAAATGAAACATTCACTCGGTCTCTCATTTCTTTAATGATCTTTCCCCCCCATTTACTTGTTTATCTTTTTAATTTTTTAAAATCACTTTTCATTTTCAATTTCAGTTGACACACATCATTATACTAGTTTCTGGTATTCATACCAGTGACCAGACATTACATAACTTACTAAGTGATTTACCCCAATAAATCCTACCAGCACCTATCCAGCACCATATCTAGTTATTAAAATACTAGAGGCCCAGTGCATAAAATTCATGCACTGAGGGAAGGGGGTCCCTTAGCCTAGTCTGCACCCACTCCAATTAACTGGCAGTCAAACATCCCTCTCACAATCTGGGACTGCTGGCTCCCAACTGCTCGCCTATCAGCCTGATCACCCCCTAACCACTTCCCTGCTGGCCCAGTCACCCCCAACTGCACAACCCTGCCAGCCTTGATGCCCCCAACTTCCCTTCCCTGCTGGCCTGATTGCCCACAATTACCCAACCCTGCCGACCATCTTGTGTTGGCCATCTTTGACCACATGGGGGTGGCCATCTTGTGAGGACATGAATGTAAATTTGCATATTACCTCTTTATTATATAGGATTATTGACTCTATTCCCTATGCTGTACTTTACATCCCCGTGACTATTCTGTAACAGCCAATTTGTTTTCTTAATCACTATACCTCAACAAAATCATAACTTTTCTTCTGGTAATCAGAAATGTGAGGTCAAAAGGCAATTAAAGTGAAGTACAAGAGAGGAGAACCCCCTACAAGAAGAGAGAGAGCATGTGAAATGTTTAACGTTGGGCAAAGCATGGGGGCAGACGTGGCTGCCATACAAGCAAATAATAAGAAATTGGCTAAAATCTTTATAAAAATCTTAGAAGCCAAATATGTGGACTAGAACATCAGCTTGGAACAGAAGATTTCACACCCACTCACAAGCTCTTATCCATGGGCTTTCACAAGAAAGATTAGGCCAAAGAAAAAGACCAGAAGCCATCTCCTCAATGGTAAAGGTGTCCTGCAGGTGGCTGCTGCTTGGGAATAGGCCCAAGCCCCACTCACTTTTCCAGATACACTATCATCACAGCTAAAGCAGTAAGCCGCCAAAGAAGGGGCATTATCTATTGCTTTAGTGAGAAACAGAAGCCAAAGCCACCTATTTTTTTTTTTTTAATATCTTCCTGTTTTTTTTTTGTTTTTTTTTTTTTAATATATTTTATTGATTTTGTACAGAGAGGAAGGGAGAGAGATAGAGAGTTAGAAACATCGATGAGAGAGAGTCATCGATCAGCTGCCTCTTGCACACCCCCTATTGGGGATATGCCCGCAACCAAGGTACATGCCCTTGACCGGAATCGAACCCGGGACCTTTCAGTTCCCAAGCCGACGCTCTATCCATTGAGCCAAACCGGTTTCGGCCAAAGCCACCTATTTTTGGTAGAGGGATAGGAAACTGTCTCAACCTCAGGACAAAGGCAAAGATCAATTGCTCTTAGAGAAGATGATAGAACAAAAAGCATCTCTTCTGGGGAAATGGTAAGGATTCTACACCAAGAGTAAGCAAAGGTCTGCTACTCCAAAGGGAAAAACAGGAAACTCCTTCCCAAGAACAATTACAGAGCTAAGACAGAGTTTGGGAGATGAAGAGCTGGAAATCCCCACCCAGGAAGTAAAGATGCACAGAGCTTGCCAAGGACTTATGAACCTGCACTGAGAACAAGGAACATTAGTCTAGTACTAGTGAGAGCAAGAGCATGGAGAGAGATGCCCATCTGAGGCACAGGAGGATGAGAATGGCTGAAAGCTGAGGGTGAAAGGGAGCACTGAAAAAAATCCTCCGGTAATACCCTCAATAAAAGTACATGGTAACAAAAGCTCACTTCTGAAGATATTGGAAGTTTGTGGGGCACTGTAGGTAATAAAAAGAAAATACAAACCAAGCTCAGCTTCTGACTAGATTGACTGACAAATGTCTCTCCATATTAACTGCATGACAACCAAGAGG